CCATTTATATTAATTGTGATCAATTTTTTTTCTTCCATGATTATATTTTATAGTTGGGTTTGGCAGCTCTCGTAGATCTTGGTTCATGTTGTTCTTTGATTTCTACCTGTCCACCTACTGCGCCTTCTTCTTTTTCAGTCTCCATTTGGTCATCTTGGAATTCAATTAGTGAGATCTCTTTTTCCTCTTTCCTCTTTTTCTGCCTCTTCCTCTCTCCTTCCAAAAAATTCTGAGTAAAATAGTTCTGCTTTCTCAATTGAATCAATTCTGTGTCTCTGTTCTTGCCATGTAAACATTAACCCTTCTGGGATCAGCCATCTATAATTCACCTCTTTTTTCAATAACATTTTAGTCAGAAATCGATATTCTCTTCTCATCTCTCTGACTCTTTTAGGTATTTGTTTTAAGACCACAATCTCCTTGCCTTTGTATTTCAGCGTTTTCTCTCTTGCTACTTGTAATATTTGCGTTTTAATGGCTTTTTTTGTAAATCTGATATGAACTTCTCTTGGTAGGTTATTTCTCATCGCATATCTTGTAAAGACTTGGTATACCTCATCTACTCCATCCATCATCTTCTCTTCAGTTATTTCCAAAGCTTCAGCCAGTATTTCTATCATTATCTCGGCTAGGTTCTGTCCTTTTTCCTCCTCTATGTTTTGAAAACTGAGATAAAATTCTGATCTGTCCATCTCCCATTTCAGCATCCCACTTTTATCTTGTTCAACCACCATTAATCTACTATCAATATCTCCAATCTTCTTGTCTCTTTGTTTATGTTCTTCAATTTTTTGGAATCTCTCATCATACTTCAACATCATTTGTTGAATATTCTCCACTTTTTCTTTTTTTTTCTTTTTTTTTAAAAATAAATTTTATTAATTTTACAATTAAAAACAGATCTACAATACATACACAAACACAATATTCTCCACTTTTTCATCGGCTTTCCCTATTCTTTGTTTAATGTTCTCTGTTCTTCGTTCAATGTTCTCTGTTCTTTGTTCAATGTTCTCTATTTTCTTTTCAATAGTCTCTGATCTTGTTTTAAGATCTTGGATTCCTTGCATAATCATCTGCAGAGTCACTTTTT